TATATATATAGGCTGGATATAAGATTTTAAAATTTGGTTAGATGGACATTTTTTGCTGTGTATTTCTCCAAAAAGAGGTCTTCATAGAAATCATTACATGTTTAAAACTTTTCCACAGAACCCCACTTCAAAAAAAGTCTAAATTATCACTTTAAATTACAAACACACAATATAAACAAAGCATCTACATTATTTTGTGCAAATGACCCCTTAACAGTGTACAGTACCTCTAATATGTCCACAGAAAGTCAGCAAAAGTGCAATCAGCATTTTAACTACTTATACCTCCCTGCTTCTACAGATTTTGTATTTTTTATACTGCATTTAGATAGTGATGTTTACATTTCCTAAAACTGCATTATTATTTCTTTTACTTTGTGGGCACTGACAAGAATTGCCATCTAATTATGTTACAATTGCACAAAGACACCAAAGACATTCTGAATAATTCTGATCTACTCTTGCATTCAAAAAGTAAATCTATTTTAAAATTGAGGCTAGAAGCACTAAAACAGTCAAAACAATGTTTATCTCTAGTTTTCTATGCAGCCATGTTTCAAGCTCATTCAAATAAAACTCAAAGGAGCTCCACACATGAATCCTCCTGCAAAAAAAAACAAGTTTCAGAGTTATTGTTATGAAACACATGAGCTCAGGTAACAAACAGCTTCTAAATTTTGATCTCATCAGAGTTGTTTTGTGAGCTGAAACGTGATCATTGATCTCAGAATAACCTAAGAAGCAAACAGTCAAACACACAAGCTGACCACATGACTGTCTAATGCATGCATGTGAACACCATCTGACACCAGAGCTGATGCTTCAGCAACTCTCTCCTAGTTTGGCAGCAAATGTCACTTGAAGCTAAACAGAGACAGGTTACGGGTGAGAAACCACCCAAAACACGATTATCACCTTTTCTACTGAGATGACCAGCTGAGTCAGCAAATCCGCTGCATGTCTGATCAAAATATAACATCAGAACTCCTTTTAGTAAGAGTAAAACAAGCACTTGTTATTATTTCACTTTTAGCTCTAAATTATCTTTAAGAAAACCGAAAGGTAACTTCAGACCAAGCATTCCTTGAAGGAATCTTTTGATAACAAGGGACATACGACTGTTTTGGTCAAATGTTGTAATAAATACGTGTTGGATATGTGCTGTAAATAATTCTCAATCAATATCACATCAAACCTTAGCTCAATATTTGTCAGTTTGACTGAGTTACAGTCATTTGAGTGGGCTCAGACAACACAGATAGAGGCAAAAAGATTATAACAAACAAAACAAAGCATGCCCTAAGGACATGTGCATTAGGCACTTTTGTCATCAAATTACATGATAAAATAGAAACTGGATCTGTAGAAATGGGTTGTTGCAGTAACTCACGGACTTCTTGTGAAACTTTCAGAATACTGAAACTCCTAGAATAACCAACTTCAATTATTTATAGTTCACTGGAAAAATGAATAAATAAAAAGGCAACACAAACTGCAAAGCAAAAAAATAAAAAGAATCTACTCCAAAGAGTGTCCCATCATGACCATTCATAATATTCAGATGAAAGCAGTGCAGCTTGTGAAAATACACTGAGGCTGAAGCTGAGGACGATCAGAACATGAACCGTTCTCACATCCTTCAGGCAGAACACAGCAGCAGAAGCTGGAAATCCGTTAGAACCTGCTCCCGACCAACAGAACACATGCGAGAAGATAAAGTCGTGTGTACCCATCAGTCGCGCTGCTCTGTTTCCCAATGAGCCGCTCCATATTTATCCTCTGGCTGTGTTATCCTGATGACCTGCAGCGCCGTTCTTTATTGATCCCATCAGTCCCGTCTYTGTGGTCGCATTACAAGCCTCATATTTATCAGATGGAGCCTGCTGCCTGGACAGCTGTCGAACACAGGGTTTGTGTGTGTGAGCGTACGACTGTGCTTCCACTCATCCTTCTATGTGCTGTAGCCGTGTGTACGTGTGTTTGTGTGTGTGTGTCTGCCGTGTATTATTTGACATGAGGCTGTAAAATGAAGGAGTGTAAAATGTCACAAATGACGTATTCGGTATCCTGGCTGCTGAGGAGGACTGCAGGGCTGATACAGTCTCAGTTTTCAATCGCTTTAATCTGCAACCTGCATCCCAGGAACCCAAATCACGTTTAAAATACAGAAACTACAACCCTGCTGCACATTTTACACACTTATATTGGACATTTTACTCTTTCAATGTCCAACTCTGCAGTTATTTTGGAGGGGGGGGGGGGTTTTTTTT